CTGTGCGAAACGAGTGTCAAAGATATGATTCCAGTGAAATAAGTTTGATATCTTAATGAATAACATACCGGTAATCGCAATATACATGGGAACTCTGAAAGACATTGATAAAGGTCTTTTTGTCACCATCCATCGATTTAATGTTCTGTAGATGACATATATAGAACCAATGGTATTTAATGCTACCGCGGCTAAACCAATTGGCACGACTATGTTTATGGAAGGAGGACTAGTAGCGTCACTCATATTATATGAATCGATTTATTAGGTGGTTATTAATAGTTATATCGTTGTTTGACACCAAAGAAATCACTTATACATAATAAAGCAATAGAATTTCCTCTTTACATGTAGAAATCTTTTTCTAAATGTTTTCAAGGCAATGAGATAAAGCTAATACTGGTTATAAATATTACCAAGAAATGGTATTGAATGATTTAAGGAAAGTATAAAAAAAAAACGGTTAAAAAATAAATGATTAATTCATGAAGTGAAATGAAGGTAATTCGAAAACTAACGGGAAGATAAATATATAATTTGGAGAATAAATTATGTTGTCATTCTATCTGCTGTGCATCCATGACTAAACCGAACTATTAAAAGATTAACTAAAAGAGAACGATAATATTTAAATTTAAGAAATAGTACTATGACTAATTGACTAAATGTCGATATTACATAATCGGCAGAATCGGCAGATTATTCGAAGCACAGATCATTATTTTAAGAGCCAATTGTTGGTCAACTATTGATTATGCAATATTTTAGTCAGTAAATTAATTTCGGGGTTATCTTTTTCAGCAAACGATTAACCTAAACCTTTAGATCCAGTGGATTTTTAAAGACTGATGAATAGATCATGTATATTGTGCAGAATTAAAATTAATTCATTTCTTAAAAGAATATAATGATATTTTTAGACATGACACCCTATTAATATATTTATAAAAATGCTGTACATATCAGAATCTATGGTTTAATAACTTCGTGGCTTGTAAAAACTAATACGCAATAGTGTTACACGAATGGAAATCTGGCTTCGGAATTTTCACTATTTTAGACTCCTATGAACGGAATTATTAACAACCCTAGCATTACCCCGAAAAATGTGGATGCAAATTAGGTAACGCAAACGAAGTCATTTAATTATAGTTACACAATTTAATTAGTTATATATTAAAGTATATAGGTGTAATGCAGATAGTACCTGCACGAATCAGGTACGTACGCACATACGTATATACTGAAAAGTTTTTGAACGATAGCACTGTAGCAAAAGTACATATCGATATATGACAATCCGAATGTAATTCAAAACTAAAATTCATGCCTAAGACAAAGTAGATTTAAACCCAAAAGAATTAAAGGAACATACCGCAGTGTTGGCCAATGATGTCATTTAAATTTAAATGACATGACTTATCATATTACAATATCATATTACAATATCATATGACATGACTTATATGACTTGTCATATTACAATATCATATAAGTATCATATGACATAATCTATATCATATAGCATATGATTCATATGAATCTATATCATAGGAATATATCATATGACATTATGATATTGTCATTTGCCAA